AATATAAAAGTAGTACAAATTGAATAATATAAATTAGATAAAACTATGTTGGTAGATATATAATTGAAGTTAAATTTTTAACATAAAGTGTGCTAGCTCAAATGGTCCATGAGCTCTTTTACTCCCCATTGGACTTGGGTTCGAATCCTCTCCTTAGCATATTTTTTACAATTATGCCACATAATCGCCACCTAAGCGTACAACTCAGCAAAAAATAAAAAATAAAAAAAATTCTAGCGAATTTCCACGTAGGCAGCCGGTAAATCTGACCTGCTGTAGGCGGTCGGAGGACTAAAAAACTAATTTTTTTTCACTTAAGGGACTATTTCCAAAGCGATCCATTTACGGTACCAGATTGAAAACGACCTGCAGATAAAGGACCAAAAAACTTTTTTTTCCCATTGAGAAAAAAATTTGGAAAACTACATGGTCCCTTAAACAAAAAATCAAAAATTTTATCGGGAGATGCTGGTTTAAATTTATTAGCACACAAGACCAGTTGAGAAACAAATGTATTCTGGTAGATCCTATCTGTTTTATATGTGGAGCATATATTTTTCCACTGATCTAGAGCTATAAAAGTTCGGAAACTAGCAGGCTTGGATTAGAGTGGCATTCATATTCACACTGATTCTTTCAAATCTTGGAGGTCTAAAATCTGTCACATTCAAAGGATGCAGTGCATTCAGGATAAAGTTCATTTCTCAACCTACATTCTTTGGTGGCGATGAAAAACCTGCAACAACGGGTTCTTCAACAAAGTTTGGATTTCTGAAGTCGAACTAGCTAAAAGGACATGGCTCGAGTGGAGAGAATTCGAAGAAGTTTCCATCATATACAGCAGCCTAAGCTCTTTATGTTGAGGTAAAATGTAAAATGAGTTCAATTCATCTAACATTCCCAACGAAAAATCAAATTTTCATCACTCTTAAATGCTATCATTATTATTATTATTTTAAATTATAAGTTTTATTTACTAAGAAATTAGAACACGTCCAGTTACGGAAAACAGAACATGACTTAAAATTGGTACTACAAAACAACTTTTTCTGGGATCAGTTTATTACTCAAAGTATCATCAATTTTGTGTTCAGAAAATAATAAATATCATAATATCTGTGATTTTGTTATTAAAAAATCATAATTAATATATTGAAATTCAGCGTCGTGTCCAATCGTTCAACTCGTACTGTGTCTTTGTCTAACCGCAAATATTTAGGTGTGTCCTGGCACACTTAGTTAGGTGTGTCAGAGCAATAATAAAATAAACATGTTATATAATAAAATGAACATGTTCATTTTTATTATGTAACATGTAATGATAAAATGAACATGTTACATAATAAAATAAACATGTTTTATTACATGTTCATTTAGTATTATCCTGGCACACCTAACTAAATGTGTCAGGACACACGGTAGTAGCACTGTTGTCTAATTACACATGAAAAAAGAAGCTCTTTTGTCTCGATTTCCAAAAGAAACTTTAAAAATATTTTTAGCCATAAACATTGTTTTAATGTTAAAGTTTAAAATATTAGAGACAAAATAAATGTTACAATCTCGAATTTTTTAAATATTGTATGCGCTTGAATAGAACTGATTAGGATTAACTCCAAGTTGTTTTGATTTTTTTATCATAAATTTATTCATATTTTGGGTAAGTTTTGTTTAAACATTAGATTATCTAATAGGTAATCTAAATACAGCAATGCTCCCCTATTCACGGTGGGCATATGTTAATATGTCCACCACTTATATATGTGGCATGAATACATTGGTGATGTATTTTTTTGGGAGCATTACTCAATCTATATACATACTTTTAACTTAAAATGTCATACTCAATAAAACAACATACAATATATAATATTTCATAGTATGGCTGTCGTAATAAAAGTATGTTGGGTAGACTTATTCAACGGTCAAGCCGTCTCACACATGAATTTTATGATGTTATAATGGTATAACTGTTGTGTATGTGGTGGAATTTACCACTAATCTTATCATTACATTAATTTATTTAAAGTGTGCATAGAAGTGTGTGCCAATGTGCCTATAAAAGGAGCCACACACTTTGTAAAATTTGTACTGAGAAACGAAAGAAAAAGTGAAGAGAGAAAAGCAGCTTATAATTTGTCCCGATTTTTACATTGTGTTCTTTATATTCTCCGCATTTTATAACACGTTATCAGCACGAGCGCTCTACCCGGTCAAGAAAGTTATCATGGCAAATCTGGTCAAACTCGAATTCGAAGCTCTCAATATGTCCGGGAAAAATTATATTATATCTCATGGACATTGGATGCCGAAATTCATTTGGCGGCAAGGGGATTAGAAAAAACAATAATCTCCCCAAATGATTCATCAATACAGGATAAAGCTAAAGCAATGATATTTCTGAGGCATCATTTGAATGAGGCTTTGAAAAATGAATATTTAATTGTTAAAGATCCTGCGGATCTATGGAAAGCCTTGAAAGAAAGGTATGATCACCAGAAAACGGTGATTCTCCCCCGGGCTCGTTACGAATGGATGCATTTACGCTTCCAAGATTTCAAAACTGTTAACGAGTACAATTCGGCCATGTTCCGCATTTGTTCGGTGTTAAAATTGTTGTCAAATGGAAATTAACAACAACCGAAGTAGAGTGTATTTGAAGTAAAGCTAAGTGTTCAACGATAAAAAGCTTGTATATTATAACTGGAAATGTAATTTTTAGTAAGGTGTTATTCTTGTCTCTCCTGGGGAATTCTCTATTTCCCTTTTTATATTTACGTACAATATTTATCTGTACAATAATCATTACACTTTGAAAGGTCAAAGGCGGTCCTTGGTTGCTTCTCTTGATAGCTTGCCACTTGGATAAACGTAATGATGAATTATGCTGAGTTGTCGCCGCCTTGCCATGCTGAGGTGGCATGTTATAGATATCGGTCCACCCAGTTATAACCGACATGTTGTGACTGGCATGTACTAACCGACATGTGTTGACCGACATGTGTTGACCGACATGTGTTGGCCGACATGTGATATCAGTCAACTTAGTGAAGATGTCGGTTCTTGCTGAATCTTTCATTGTGTAGTCATCTTGAAGCTGGTGGGAGTGTCACTTGCTTGCATGAACTTTAATTACCATTATACTGATCTCAATCAGCGGATTAATGTCGCTTAATCTGACTTACGGAAAATGATATCAACAAAAATTATGCGGAGAAAACATAACTGATTATGATATGCTGGAAAAAACGTTGTCCACGTTCCACGCTTCAAATGTACTATTGCAGCAACAATACAGAGCAAAAGGCTTTGTAAAATATTCTGAGTTGATTTCTTGTTTGCTGTTGGCTGAACAAAATAACGAGTTGTTGATGAAAAATCATTAATCTAGACCCACGGGGTCTACTGCGGTCCCTGAAATGAATGCTGTAATATCTAAACAGGGAACCGGAACTGAAAATAGCCAGACATATGTGCGTGGAAATACCTCGGGACGTGGCCGGGGTCGTGGACGTGGACGTGGCCGTGGCCGTGGATATGGCCCAGATCGCCGATTTGACCAAGGCTTTAAATTTCACAGAGGGTACAACTCGGGCCGAGGAAATAATCGTGGACGAGGTCGTGGCTATGCCCAAAATTTTGAAAGGGGAAAAATTTTCAGCCAAAATTTGAACAAAATAATGTGACGGAAAATAATAATGAAAATGCATGTTATCGATGTGGAAAGACGGGACATTGGGCACGAAATTGTCGTGCTCCGAAACACGTTGTTGATAAATATAATGATTCCCAGAAATCAAAAGATAAAAATGTAGAAACTAATTTTATAGTTGGGGAATCCTCTGAAAATAATACTACACGTGTAGATGATGACTATGGCATCGATGACATGTTGAACCTGGATTTTGCTGATGCGGTATTTGAAGAAAGAGCTGGAAATGACCAAGAGAACAACTGATTATCCTGTTTCTTTTATTGCTTTCTAAGTTTTTTTTTTTTTTGTTGTATTTGCGTATTTGTACCAGTCGTATCTGTATTTCAAATTTGATCAATAATAATGTTGTTTTCTTTTAGATCATGGATCGGTCTCGAATTCAAAATGGAGATATATGTCTTGCAGATTGTGCCACAACTCATACTATACTCAAATACAGAAAATATTTTGTCAACTTGAAATTAAATAAAGCAAAAGTAAACACAATATCT